GAGAGGCAAAACTGTAAGTAGGCCTTATTTTCGGAGGATGTTTTATTTTCGGGGAAACAGGGTATGACTGCTGCGGGGGGGGGGAACCTCTATTAACCTAATGCCTGATTAAAAAAATAAGAGCATTTAATAAACAAAACCCCTGCAGATAAAATGGTGTAAAGAAGAAGAAAGAAGCCCAGCGATTATCAGACTCGTGCAATGAATGAACCCTATTAAATGAATCCATCTTATCTGCATCAATTGATGCCAGTGTAACATGTAGCTAGATACCTTTCTGTGAGGATGGGAACTTTATCTAAAGGACTGGTCTCTGTGATGTGCTTGGAATGAATTTAATTCTCAGTCTCCTCAGGTTTGTGCCAGGGATTCTGTGGAGGACTGATAAGTGCCAGAGAAACCCAAACACAGGGCTTCACTACGTGGAGAAAGTGACCACTAGAACTACAGTGGTAGAATTATAATGCTATAGCTATGTTGGTATAGTCCCTGTGCGGATAATCTAATCCAGACTAAAAATGATTTATTTTGATATAGTTCATATGACTTTAAACCTGCATAACTACGCACCATGCGGCTGCTCTAGGCAACATAAGCTACATCAACAAAGACTCACTTTTATTCCAGAAGGAATTGGGATTGGTTAGTCTGCAGAAGAGAAGAATGAGGGGGGATTTGATAGCTGCTTTCAACTACCTGAAAGGGGGTTCCAAAGAGGATGGATCTAGACTATTCTCAGTGGTACCAGATGACAGAACAAGGAGTAATGGTCTCAAGTTGCAGTGGGGGAGGTTTAGGTTGGATATTAGGAAAACCTTTTTCACTAGGAGGGTGGTGAAGCACTGGAACGGGTTACTTAGGGAGGTGGTGGAATCTCCTTCCTTAGAGGTTTTTAAGGTCAGGCTTGACAAAGCCCTGGCTGGGATGATTTAGTTGGGGACTGGTCCTGTTTCGAGCAGGGAGTTGGACTAGATGACCTCCTGAGGTCCCTTCCAACCCTGAGATTCTGTGATTCTATGAATAGAGCATTCACACAGAGAGTTAGACTAGCATAGCTATAGTGGCCGGCCAACTTCCCCGTGTAGTAATCCTCCCACTGAAATCTCACCCACCTTGCCAGCCAGGGTGAAAAGGAATGTCTGATTCCAGAAAAGAATTACACATTCCACCGACCTCCTACCTCTTGAGTAGCAGTGACTTGATGGTACTTGTCCTCTACAAGTGCACGAGATACAGTATGTTCCTTCTCTCAATATCATGCTGCAGTGACGGCTGTTTAATATGGTACCTGTATTCCTGCTCCTTCAGGGACGGTTATCTTCCACACGCAATTGAGACTATTCAGGTAGGGCTCAGGGAAGCCAGGGGAAAGGATGGTGCCTTTACGCTCAGTCAAGTTTCCACCACAAGGCACTGGAAAAAAAAAAAGCAAACGAGAACTTGAATGTGGGAGAGCTCAGCTTTATATAATAAATAATATATGGAGATATATGGATTGCATAGAAGGGGAAGGTCATCAAGTCCAGCCCCCTGCCTTTCCTAGTAGAACCAAGTACTGATTTTGCCTCAGATCCCAAAGTGGCCCCCTCAAGGCCTGAACTCACAATCCTGGGTTTAGTAGGCCAATGCTCAAACCACTGAGCTATCCCTCCCACCCCAACACTTCACTGGGTATGGGCAGAAAAGTACCTGGGACTGGGTGATTACTTAAGAAAGTGATTTGTGAATAAAACCATCTGGGTTGCAACTCTGTTCCTGGCAGCACAGCACCCAGCAAAACGGGAACCCGATCTTGGCCCCAAATTGGGGGTTGGCGGGGATGGGGATGGAGTGCACCCATTTCAGCAATCCGGATCAGGGTGGAAACCATGATCTTTTGGCGCAAGTTAGAGCAGCCTTCAGGCTGGTCTAATTTACAGCAGGGCCGGGTTCAGCCACCAGCATTGTGAAGGGTGGTAAGAAAGGTGGCATAATGCCACTTATACCCTCCCACTTAGGCCAGCTTTGCTGGGCACTACCT